CAAGGGAAAGCAGAGAGCCAGATGGCCAAGGACACTGGCCCTCAAGGGTGGGTGACGTCCAGCTCTGCAGGGGGCTGGGGAAACCCCCTTGCCTCTTTTCTGCCACCTTCCCAGCTGTTCTTTCCAGGAGCCTGAGAACTAGGCTGGGGGGAGGACATTTCCAGGGAAACCTCCAAGTGGGAAAGGCAGAGCCACCTCCCTCATCCGCAAGGGTAAAACTGTCCCCAGGCCCAGGCCAGACCCTCCAGAACCCAGCCCATTCTCTGGACCTGGAACAGGGTGGGCCCAGGGAAAGGGGGTGCTCAAATCACTGCCTTCCTTGACTTCTCTCTCAGACACCTTATTAGCTAGCCCCTCCCTAAGGGACCCCTTTTTAGAAGGAGGGGGCGAAGTACAGATGGACCCCCCAGGTTACCATGGAGACGGCAGGGAAAGGGTTGCTGCATCGCCATGGCAACAATTGACGTCAGCACTACCCTTTCCCACTGCTTGATATGAGAGGGGGCCAGCCACCCCAACCACGAGCAAATCCCCCACAAAGCCTCCTCCCCTTGCTGAGCCAATCAACCAGGGGGTCGACAGGCTTAATATAGCACGGGAGCTAAAAGCTCAGAGCCTGGTGTCAGTCAAACCTTGGTTCAAATCCTCGCTCTGCCTCGTCCTAGCTGTGTGCGTCTGAGTAAGCTCCTTAACCCCTTGAAGTCTCACAGGGGCCATGGTGACAAACGAGCCTCCGAGGGTGACGGTGAGGATTACAGGGATCAGGCATCCAGTAGGCATGGGAACCAGCTCCTGAGACACGTCCATGGCCGTTGGCGGCTGCGCAGAGTCCTGACTGCCATCTTGGGCCGCGTCAGGGGATGTGGCCTTAATTTAGAGGGGGCCAGGACTTCCAGGCACTGGGCGGGCACCAGGGTCTGTGGGGGCTCTCCCGGTGGAGCCAGAGACACTGGAATTTCCAGGCTCTGAGGAAACCCCAGAACCCACTTTCCCTGAAGTCCCATCACATCCGGACTCTGACCCAACTTCCCCTTTCTCCCCCGCCCCCCCCCAACCTCATCCTGGGTTCTCGCAGCCTTCCGCTTCTTGAGCCTGAATCTGTCCACTAGGAGAAAGGACGGAGGAGGGAGCCAGGGAGGACACTAGGTGGAACGGGGTGCACACGGGGTTCTCAGGGCTGCAGCTCCCATTGCCCTCTCCCCAGCCAGCCTTCTCCTGCCCTCCTCCTCCCCAGCCAGCCAAGCAGCACAGTGCATTCTGCTGCAATTCTGAGTGAGGTCCCCATCCCCACCCATCCCGAGACCCCTGACTCATCTCCCTGCTTCCTCCAGTACCAGATCCCCCCACCCCAGAAAGCTTTCACACAGTTGTGTCACTTTCCTACCCAAATCTCACAGCTACAGCCGCTCACCACTCTTCCCACCTCAAAGCCCTGTCTTCCCGCATCCTGGACTAGTTTCCCTGGAGACCTGCTCACCTCTCAGACCGACACTGACTGTCGCTTCTCAGAGGAGACCCCTGGCCACGCATCCATTCCCTCCCCAGGCACCTGCTTTCCTGCTGGGTTTGATCTTATTACACTTGGGCCTGTGGGAGGGCCAGGGCTCTGTCATATTCGCTCTCCAGGACCTGGAACAGGAGGGCTCAGATCCACAGCTGGGCCAGGGAATGTCCACCCAGCTGAGGCCTGGGGCTCTGAAGAGAAGGACAAGCAGAGCTGTCTGGCCTGGCCTGGCTATAGGAAATGCTCTCAATGAAGAACTGACATCTAGGGGCAGGTGCAGCCTGGGACACCTGCACCCCTTACAGAAGTGCCTAGGTTCCAGCCCCAGCTCCACTTCCAATTCCGATTTCCTGCTAAGGCACACCCTAGGAGGCAGCAGGTGACGGCACCGGATGGAGTTCCTGGTTCCTGGCTTCTGCCTGGCCCACTCCCAGGTGTTTCTGGCATCTGGGGAGTGAACCTGAGGATGGAAGCTTGCTCTCTCTGCCTTTCAAATAGAATAAGCAAAATTTAAAGAACTGACATTTGAACCGAAGGATGAGAAGCAGCTATCCGGGCAAAGATATGGGCGTCAGAAATGCCCCCTGCCCCGGGATTGGTCTGCTCCACGGGTGACCTTGGTGCGGAAGATGCTGCGTAGGGGCACCTGCTCCTGTGTTGGGAAGATAATCCAGGCTGCCCTACAGGGACAGACCAACAGCAGGGAGCCGGGTCAGGAGGTTGCAAAAGGCGACGGGGCCTTGGCCCAAGTGTAGGTGGCGGAAGTGATGGGATTTTAGACATAGCCCAGAGAGGAGAGAATTCTGTATCTGCTTGAGCAGGAAAAGGGAGACATAGGGCAGATTCTGGTATCAAGACCAGATTTCCGGGGCCAGCGCTGTGGCCTGAAGCGCCAGCATCCCATATGGGTGCCGGTTTTAATCCCGGCTGCCCCTCTTCCAATCCAGCTCTCTGCTGTGGCCTGGGAAAGTAGTAGAAGATGGCCCAAGTCCTTGGGCCCCTGCACCCACGTGGGAGACTGGGAACAAGCACCTGGCTCCTGGCTTCGGATTGGCGCAGCTCTGGCCATCGCAGCCATCTGGAGAGTGAACCAACAGAAGGAAGACTTTTCTCTCTGTCTTTCCCTCTCACTGTTTGTAACTCTACCTCTCAAATAAATAAATAAAATCTAAGAAAAAAAAAAAAAAAAGGCCGGCACCGCGGCTCACTAGGCTAATCCTCCGCCTAGCGGCACTGGCACACCGGGTTCTAGTCCCGGTTGGGGCGCCAGATTCTGTCCCGGTTGCCCCTCTTCCAGGCCAGCCCTCTGCTGTGGCCAGGGAGTGCAGTGGAGGATGGCCCAGGTGCTTGGGCCCTGCACCCCATGGGAGACCAGGAAAAGCACCTGGCTCCTGGCTCCTGCCATCGGATCAGCGCGGTGCGCCGGCCGCAGCGCGCTGGCCGCGGCGGCCATTGGAGGGTGAACCAACGGCAAAGGAAGACCTTTCTCTCTGTCTCTCACTGTCCACTCTGCCTGTCAAAAAAAATAATAATAAAAAAATAAAAATAAAATAAAATAAAAAAAAGACCAGATTTCGGGCCCAGCGAGTGGAGTGTGGCCCAGCCGGGAGCAGAGGAGGCAGGACAGATGTGAGGCACGTCTCCTGGGGAAGGGGGACCATCTAGGAGGCAGGTGTGAATTAAGAGGGGAGGGCAGGTCTGAAGAGAGAAGCGCTGACCACCGGCAGGACGCTGAAGGCATGAGAACCCAGGACAGACGTAGAGGGACCCGGGATAACCACGGCTAAGCCGTGAGCAACAGATGAGAAGTGCGTCCCATAGCAGCAACCCGTAGGACAGCCAGGAAATCAAGACTACGCAGTGATCCAAAACACCAGGGCTCCCAGAGGATCTCAAGCAGGAGGGAGTATCTGGCTGTGTCTAAGCCAGCCACTGCTAAGAGGTCAAGTCAGATAAGAGCAGCTAGCATCCCCTGCACTTGGCCACAAGGAGGGCTGCGGCGACCTTGCAGAGCCCGGCCTGCGGAATGGTGGGGGAGGAAGCCAGATGGCAGGGCTTGAGGGACCCAGGGGAAACAACGTGTGTACGCACGTCTTCCAAGAATGTTGGCTGCGCAGGGAGGAAGGGGAGCTGCAGAGGGGTGTGGGGTGGAGGGAGGGCTCCCTTTTTCTTTCCAGATAGCAAAGACTGGAGCCTGTTTGTTTGCCGATGGGAGGGAGAGGTTGAAGATAGGGAAGAGGAAGCGACAGAGGAGGGACATTCCCCAAGGAAGGGAAAGAGGACATCAGATCCCCAAACACAGCTGGACAACAGCGAGGGCAGCAAGTCGGAGCCTGTTCCGGGCTCTGGGGGCTCAGCGCAGCTGCCCACTCTGCCCAGCAGCCAGTGTGAGTCACTAAGGGGGAGACAGCTCCAACGGCAGTGTGGGAACGGGCAGTTGTGCCCTGGGCCCTGAGCCCCATGCCCCAGCCAGGAAGGCACGCGAGGCTCAGCTTACCCTGGGCACGCAGAGTTTGCAGCAAGTGTGGATTTTATTCTGGCTTTTTCTGCCCCTCTCTGAACCTGGTTCCCCTTCTGCAAAAGGCAAGGGTTAGACCAGAGCAATCAAGGACTTCTGTTTTGGGCGGTGGCTGGTGTGTGTGTGTGAGGGCCCCTTCTCGATTCTTTCAGAAATATCTGTGTGTAGGTCTGAGGCCAGCTGAGAAGGTTCTGGATCCTCCCCAGCTCAGCCCTCTGGCTGGGGATCCGGTGGGGAGGGGCCACTCCGGCGATGCCTGGGAGGAGAGAGGTGTGGGTTCTGCACACCATCAACGGTCAAAGAGCAGAGGCTGCAGGCGCCTGGCCCTCCCGCTGCCTGTTCTCAAACGCCAGTCTTTGGCCCCTGCTCTGGCCGGAAGTGTCTCCAGGGAAGTCGGGGACGGCTCTGCCCCCACCTCCTCTTGTCAGATGAAGCCTCCGGCTAAAAACAGCCCCAGGCAACTATGGCTGGACACCGTGCCATGCACCATTCACCGAGACTGCCCACTCCGTGGTGAACTTTCTTTTTCTTTTTTTTCCTCTCGGGGAGAAGGCCTGCGGGGAGGGCGCCGGACAGAGAAGGAGATGCCCCGGTCCTTGGGAAGGCCCCGCTGGGGGCCTCCAACCCTGGAGGCTGTCCCTGTCCCTCTCAAGCGCCCCCCAGGATGAGCGCGGCCGCGTCTCCCCAGCAGGAGGCTCCGAGCTGTGTTTCTGGGGCAGCCGGGACCGGGACCCGGCCCCGCGCCCCGCGGCTCGTTCCGCAGCGCCGCCGCCCGCAGGCTCGCACCGGGCCGCTGCCGCCAGGGGCCACTGGCCCGGAGGACGTGCCGTCGGCGCGCCCGCCCCGCTGCTGCAGCGCGCACCCGCGCCTCCCTTGAGCGCGCGGGGCGGGGCCTAGGCGGAGGGGCGGGGCCCCAGGGCGGCGGGGCGAGGGGTGGGGCGTGAGGGCGTCACAGGCGGAGGGAAGGGGCGGGGCAGGGCGGAGTCGGCGCAGACCCGGAGCGCGGGGCCTCGCCCCCCTCTTTCTGCGCGGGTTTCCTCGACTCCAGGTACCAGCGCCGATGGCTGAACGTTAGCTATCAATTCCTGGACGAGAGGAAGAGACAGATAGGTTCCCTGCACCCGAGAGAGCCGGTGAGGGGCGGGGCCCGAGGGGCGCCCGCTGGGCGTGGCCTCCCGGGGGCGGGGCCTGGCCGAGGCGTGGGGGCTGGGCGAGGCCCGAGCACTAAGTGGGTCTTGCAGCAGTTGCAGGCATCCATAGTTGAGTGCCGGATGTGTGTCTCTGCGGGGTTCTTCCCTGCCTTTCTCGAACCACAAGCATTTTTTTTTTGAAAGATTGACAAATTTTATAAATATTTATTTTTTATTTACTTGAAAGGCAGAGTTACAGGGGTAGGAGGACAGACACAGGGAGAGCGAGAGGTCTTCATCCGCTGGTTCACTCCCCAGATGGCCATAACAGCCCAAGCTGAGCCAGGCGGAAGCAGGGAGCCGGGAGCTTCATCCGGGTCTCCCACGTGGTAGCAGGGGCCCAAGCAATTGGGCCATCCTCCCTGCTTTTCCAGGTGCGTTAGCAGGGAGCTGGATTGGAAGTAGAGCAGCGGGGACTTGAACCAGCGTCCGTATGAGATGCGGGCATCACAGGCAGAGGCTTAACCTGCACCGGCCCCAAGGTTTACAAATTTAACCACTCTGAAATTTCTGTTTCCTGGAAGATACCCAAAAATGTTAAGTAAAGAGTCCCAGACAGGGCTCCGAAAACATGAGGCCAGCTCTGTACCCAAAGCAGGGAGTGCAGGAGCCCATGACCCTAGGGCCAGGGTGACCGGCCGGGCCTGGCAGCTTCGCTGAGTGACTCAGGGAAGAAAGGTGGGTCAGCTTGCAGGGCGGGGGCAGGCGACCCTCCAGGAGGGCCCCCCACACGCACTCCTGTGCACCTGGGAACAGCGGCACCACCTCTGAATGCAACTGTTTCTTTCTGGCCAGGATTTCTGTGTCTGTTGCTTTATCCAGCAAACACTTTCCAAGGGCCTCTTTCCAGGTTTGTGCCGGGTTCACGCCCAGTTCATCTGTGAGTCCTCAGAGGGGGACCGCTCAGCGGAGGTCCCTGCCCTCATGGGGCTCCCGAGCTGGTGGGGGAGTCAGACCCAGCAGAGAGGTGGGCCATCAGCCACGTGCTGTGTTTGCAGAGAGCAGAGGCTGGACCGGGTGCTGCTGCCTGTGGGGCGGCCAGGGACACGTATCTGGCTGGCTGGGAGGTCTTCCATGAGGACAGGAACTTTGCTGGTCTGGAAGGATGAAGGGCTCGACTTCCAGCAAGAGTGTTCTGGGTGAGGGGCACAGCACATGTCTGGCTGGTGACCCGCTGCTCCGGCTGGCTGTCCTGGGAGTGTGTACTGCTGCACCTCGGTTCCTGGGAGTCCTGATGCAGGCTTCAACAGGGCCCCTGCGGAGTCTGGAAGTGAGGCCGCTGCCGCTGGAGCTGATTCAGGCCACTGGCCAGCTCTGGCCCGGCCCATCCCCCTGGAAGCAGCCCCACCCCCACCCCATCGGCATCAGTCCCACGACCTTTGGCTCCTTCCCAGGGCAGCATCCTGCAGCCCGGAAGGAAGTCCTTCGTCCTGTCTAACCACAGTCCCTGCTGAGGCAACCCCAGCCCTTTCCTCTCATTCTGTCTGTGGGCAGAGGGGAGGAGATGGGCTGGCCATCTGTGACAGCAGATCCTGCCTGGCCCGCGAGCCCAGCAAAGACCTGAGACTGGGGGTGACCAGCTCTGCAGCCCAAGAAGGGCAAAGCTAACCACTCAGAAGCCTCTGCCACATCCACTCCCAAGAGCCTCATTTTTAGACAGAAACTCAGGCGGGCCCACCGAGGAAAGCGGTGCAGACCTGGGACCAGAACCCGGGTCTGTTGATAAAATAGGAACAATGCAACCGGCGTTTATTCCACAGTTACATTCTGCGTTTTCTTCTCGAAGCCACATCACAACCTGTGAGGCCCCCTCATGATTCCTGTATCCTCAGATGAAACTGATGCTCAGAATCATTAAGTGACCTGTCGGGGCCGGCGCTGTGGCGCAGCGGGTTAAGCTGCCACCTGCAGAGCCGGCATCCCATATGGGCGCTGGTTTGAGTCCTGGCTGCCCCACTTCCGATCCAGCTCTCTGCTGTAGCCTGGGAAAGCAGCAGAGGATGGCCCAAGTTGTTGGGCCCCTGTACCTGTGTGGGAGACCCAGAAGAAGCTCCTGGCTCCTGGCTTCAGATTGGCACAGCTCCAGCTGTTGCGGCCATTTGGGGAGTGAACCAGTGGATGGAAGATTTCTCTCTCTCTCTCTCTCTCTCTCTCTTTCTCCTTCTCTCTTGTATTTCTGCCTTTCAAATAAATAAGTAATCTTTTTTTTAAGTGACCTGTTCAGGTCCCCCCAGCTAGTGCACAGCAGAGCCGTACTTCCCTCTGTTCCCTGTGCCTGGATGCCAGGGTGTCCCACATGTCGGTTTTCCAGGGCCGTGGAGGGACAGGCTTCAGGTTCACCTTGTGCAAGCCAGGGCTAGCAGGAAGATGGCCTGGGAGCACTGCACCCCCCAGGGTGCCCTCTCTGGGGATGAAGGTTACCCACCTGCCCCGCCCTCCTGGGGTCTCCGTGTTTCTGCCTTCGCTTCTCAAATAAAGCAGCTTCTGCCTCTCTCGGGCTCGCGCCACTGCATTGTGGGGATGATCTTGGTTCCCCCCGTGACACACATGGAGCTGGCGGGCATCCACAGTGACCCCTTGGCCCTCCCACCATACCTGTCCCGCACATGAACGCCCAGTGGGGAAGGTGGGTGCAGGGGACCTAGTTCTTGGTCTCCAGGCTTTCCCAGTGCCACAGATGGAGAAAGGCAGAGGCACATGCCAGCAAGCACAGTGTCCCAGGAAGGGGGCACTCCTTGGTTGGGGGCAGTGTGTCCTTGGTAGGTCAGGAGAGACTTCAGGGGAAGTGCCTTGGGCTGGGCCCTGACAGGTGAGCAGACCCTGGAGAGGTGGACCTCGGGAAGGCATTGTAGGCAGGGTGGGGGCAGCGATCCAAGGAGGAAGCTTTGGCAACTTGCAGGCTGAAATGGTTGTCTCACTAGGGTGACAGCGACCCTGGTACCAGGGGGCCCCTTATCAAAAGGAGGCCTCTAGGGGTCAGAGTTTCAAAGACCTTGAAGGCCAGAATAAGGGTGAGTAGGGAGCCAGGGACGGGTTTAACAGCGGGGAGGCACATGAGTGGTCTCTGGCCTCAGATAGGTCCAAGGCCACAGGGCACCTGTCCCTGTGCTCCCACGGCTGTCTCCAGTTGCTCTCTGGGACTTCCTGGCCTGAGGGTGGGTGCTGGTGGCCAGAGGAAGGAGTCTCTTTTGAAATAGAGACAAAGAGAACGTTCCATCCTCTGGTTCGCTCCCTAAATGTTCACAATAGCTGGGAAACTCAATCCAGGACTCTTACATACATGGCAGAGACCAGACCACTCGAGCCATCACCTGCCACCTCCAAGGTATGTCGCATTGGCAGGAAACTGGAATCAGAGGTGGAGCCGGGACTCGAACCTAGGCATTCCAGTTTGAGATGCAGGTGTCCCAAGAAGTGGGTTTTCTTTTTTTTTAATTAATTTGAAAGGCAAAGCAGCAGAGATTGAGAGGGAGAGACAGAGAAAGAGAAAGTGCTTCTATCCGCTGACTTACTCCCCAAATGCCCACAACAGCTGGGGCTGGGCCAAGCTGAAGCGAGGAGCCAGGAGCACCATCCAAGTCTCTCCCGTGTACGTGATAGGAGCCCAAGGACTCCAGGAACATTAGCAAGAAGCTGGTTTAGAGGCAAAGGAGTGCAAGATGCAGGTATTCCACGTGGTGGCTTAGCCCTCTGCACCACAACACCTGTCCCCCAGGTAGTGTCTTAAGTGCTGTGCCAAATACCAACCCCTTCAGGCCATACTTTTAAGCTCTGGCACTGAGAACGGCAAGAACCCTGAGATCAAGAAATAAATGCTAGTACTGGAGTGGGCGTTTGGCACAATGGTTAAGATGCCACTTGGGATGCGTTCATTCCATGTTTGAGTCCTGGCCCCACTTCCACTTCCACTTCCAGCCTCCCGCGAGTGCATACCGTGGGAGGTGGCAGGGGGACGGCTCAAGTGGTTGGGTTCCTGCCACCCAGGTGGGAGACCCCAGTGGAATTCTGGGCTCCTGACTTCAGTCTGGCCCAGCTCTGGCTGTTGTAGGCATTTGGGGAGTGAACCAGTGGATGTAAGATGACTTGGCCTTTCAAATAGAAAAGAAATGAGTAAATAATTTTTAAAAGGTTTATGGCAAGTGGAATGAAAAAGAAGGAAATGCCAGCGGTGGCTGCCTCTCTACTCTGCCTTTTGCTCGGAGGCCAGCACCTCTGGCTGGATCGCCGCCCCATGTAAGGCGCACATGGACTTTGTCCCAGGGGCAAGCGAAAGCCACGGAGAGGCTGAAGGCCAAGGGCAGCATGTTGGATGTGTGCATGTTTTTCACTGTCATTGAGATATTTACCGAGCTCCTTCTATTGGAAAGTGTCTCTGTGACCTGGAGAACGGCTGTAAGGGCAGAGGGACCAGTGAGAAGCCGGTGACACGGCCCAGCCCTGGTGAAAGGAGGAGCTTCCCCAAGGAGGTGAGGGGAGGGGAGGATGAGCTGCGGTGGGTGGCGCGGGGCTCCGCCCAGGGCCCTGGCTAACACAACGGAGTGGCCACAGCGTGGGAAGTGCGCAGCCTGTGGGTGTGGAGTACAGCACGGGCAGAGCCACTTTCCTCCTGGGAAACCTGGGGCGCTCCTCAGCAGAGCGTCAGTTGGGTTGTTAGGAAAAGGATAGAAATGTAGCAAGTAACGCCTTCTAGGCAGAGGGAACGGCATGTTCAAAGGCCCTGAGGTGGGAGGCAGCTCAGCATTCTGAGGAAGCGAAAAGCCAGCATTGTGGAAATGCAGTGGGCCAGGAGAGGAGGGAGGGACACAGGGCTGAGGGCTGAGTCCTCTCTCCGAGATCCTAGCTGGGGCACTGGGGAAGGCTCCCTGGGGATGGAAGGGCTTCCCAGGCAGGCAGGAGGGACTGGGAGGGGACAGACAGATAAAGTATGTGTTGGGGGTGCTCCACAGTCTGTTTAGAAAGGGCACTACAAGGAGGCCCCGGGGCACACTTCTGGGTATAGGGGAGAGGGAAAGAATCCGTAGGCTCTGGGGGAGGGGCGTGTTCCTGCAGCTTTTAAAGGACCAAGAGGTGGGCGTTGTGACGAAACAGCTTGTGCTGCCTGCATCCCGTATCAGAGGGCCTGGGATCGAGTCCCGCCTGTTTCCCATCCAGCTCCCTGCTGATGCTCACCGTTCAGAGGCAGCAAATGATGGCTCAAGTACTTGGACCCCTGCCACCCGTGAGGGAGACCTGGCTGGAGTTCCAGGCTCCTGGTTTTGCCTGGCCCAGCCCTGGCCATTGCAGCTATTTGTGGATTGATCCAGTAGATGGAGGCTGACTTGTTTTCCCTCTCTCTCTCTCTCTCTCTCTCTCTGTATTTGAAATGAATAGATAAACTTAAAAAAAGAGAGAGAGAATTGGGGCCCGCACTGTGGCGTAGTGAGTAAAGCCGCCGCCTGCAGTGCTGGCATCCCATACGGGCGCCGGTTCAAGTCCTGGCTGCTCCACTTCTGATCCAGCTCTCTGCTGTGGCCTGGGAAAGCAGTGAAGGATGGCCCAAGTCCTTGGGCCCCTGCACCTGCGTGGGAGACCCGGAAGAAGCTCCTGGCTCCTGGCTTCAGATCGGCGCAGCTCTGGCCATGGCAGCCATTTGGGGAGTGAACCAGTGGATGGAAGACCTCTCTCTCTCTCTCTGCCTGTCCTTCTGTTTCTGTGTAACTCTTTCAAATGAATAAATAAATAAACCAGAGAGAGAGAGCGCTGATTGAGGCCAAATGAATTTCCCCTGAGCAATCCAGCATGCTTAGAGCGATCCAGCAATGCCCCCTCTCCCCCCTCCAAAGGAAGGTGCCAGTGCTGCGCTGCCTCCCGCCTCCTCTTCCTAGGACGGAAGCGGAAGAGAAGGGCAGGGAATGGGCTCGCTGATGGGCACCCATTACCCAGAATCTCACACACAGCATCCGCGAGCATTGCTGGAGCTTCCAGGGCGCTCTGTGCCTCAGGCGCTCGGGTTAAAGCTTTCCCGATAGAGCTAACCCATTACTGCCCTGTAACCCTGCAGAAAGGGTGCTACACCACCCCTATTTTATAGATGGGGACACTGAGGCTGCAGAGCCACCGCCTCACCAATAGGACCGCAACGCAATAAATACCTCCCAGAGCTCGCACCCTGAAGCAGCTCCAGGGTCTGCACTTCTGAGTGGCCGGCGGGAGGCCAGAGAGGAAGGCACTTGTGGGGTCACAGAGCCTGGGAGCACGGGAGCGCCTGCGGGGGCAGGGCGAGGTGGTGCTGGGGGGGGGGTTGGGGCCTGGCCTGGGAAGCAGTTTCAGTTTCTCTTTGGGAGGGAAGTCCCCTGTCCCCCACGGACCTGCATTCCATGGCTCTGGCCACGCATCCCCAGAGGCACTGGGATCCTGAGGAAGAGGTGGGGAGAGGGGGGAGGAGCCGCTCAGGCAGGCCAGATAAACTGGGTTGAATTTCTGGTGACCTCATCATGCCTGGGAGAGGTAAGCAGGTGAGCTGGGATAAGGCGCTCTCTGCTACTGGGGAAACCAAGCCCTAGAGAAGACAGCTCTCTTACAGTGGCTGGTCCTGTCCGATTATGTAACCATCACACACACACACACACACACACACACACCCGGAGAGGGAGGGGAGAAATAAAAGGTCTGGGAGGCCTGGAATCCTGAAGAGGGGATTTTCAGATTTCCTGTGCTTGTGCCCAGGCAACTGCATGGTGGATGCCAGTGAGGTGCCTCGTGTCTGCAGTGGGGTCCCGTGGCAGGCAGGGAGGCCACACAGCCAGGGCCTGCTGACCATGCCGCCACAAGCCCCGGAACTGAGGCCCGGGTGGGGGGAGCAGCGCCCCCGCCCCCGGGCCCGGCCCTGCAGCTGCCTCACCTCTCTTGGTCCCACCTCAGTTTCCTCCTGCGCGGAGGGCAGTAGGGATGGTGGCCATCTCACCAGGCCACGAGGCAAGGCGTGCCACGCTGTGGGCACGAGCTTGGCACACAGTCACCACATCACCAAGGCCAGCGGCCATGATCCTTATTCCCGGCGGCCCCTCCCACGCGGGGCTCAGGGATGGCCAAGCGTCTGCACTCTGTGGTCCTCTGTGCCCCCAGCGTGCTGGCTCCCTCCTGGGCTCTCTCTGGCCGGCCGGCCACCCACCAAGGGAGTGCTCCCGCGGCCTAGGCACTTCCTGGGTGACCTCACGCACCACCCGGCTGCAGTTACCTTCCTATTGGCAGTGACCAGGGGTCAGTCTTGACCCAGAACCTCTGTCTTTGTCCCTGTGAGGTCACCCGCCAGACTGTGGGCACTGGCCTTGGGCTCGAGTGTGAGCTGAAGCGTGTGGGCTTCAGGGGCCTCCTGGATATCTTCCAGAATGTTCCCTGGCAGCCCCACCTCCACGAGGCTGAAGGCTTCGGCAAGTCCCTCCCGGGTTCTTTTCCCTCGGACGCCCCAGCCAGCGGAGCCACAGCCGTCATCCAACAGAAAGGGCAGCAGTTCCCCACCCCTGAGCCCGCCTGTCCTCACCCAGGCTGTCACTGGATCCTAGGGATCCCCTCCCCCAAACTGCCCCAGACCAGGCCTCTCCCTCCACCCCCTCCTCACACAGACCCCTGGTCTTTGCTCCCGCCCCCCACCTCCCACCCCTGTTAAGGCATTGCCTGTCTTCCCCTGGATGGGAAACCCCGGAGGGCAGGGGCCCCGTGTGACTCACCACTTACCCTTCTCTACGTAGGGGCAGAAGAGGGGAACTGCAGCCCTGCCCTGAGGATGACTCACGGAGCCCCAGCCACTCACTGCCCGGATGAACAAACTGAGGCCACGGAGGTGGGGGTTCTGGGGCGGGGACCGGCTTACTGCCGCACAGCCAGAGGCTGACTTGGGGTGAGCACTAAAGCTCCGGTCCAGCTGTTGCTCTGCACGAGGAGCTGGGGGCCCCGGGGCTGGGCCATCGCAGAACCCCCAGGTCCCAGCCCCCTCTGCTGTCCTCCCATTCTACCACTGGGAAGGCCGCTCTCTCCACCTCTGACCGGACGCCCACCCGCGCCTCACCTGCGGTCTGTTCTGATTCCCCACCTCCCTCGGGGACAATATTCTCTTCCGTTCTCCCGCCTTCAGCCCTACCCTGTGGCTATCCAGGGTCCCCCGCTTTCCTGCCAGGGAGCTCCAGTGCCTTCTGTCCTGTGCCTTTCTCCCTGGGGGCTGGGTGCAGGGTCTGAGCCCTTACTGGGAGAACTGAGACAGCTGGGAATGTGTGAATGTGAGCCTTCCAGTCCGTCCCAGGATCACAATGTCCCTCCCATTCCTCCTTTCCCTGTCACTGTCCTGGCAGAAGTCCACACCTGAGAGGTTTGACTGCAACAGCCTCAGTGACCCCCTGTGGCCCACAAAGCCACCCTCCCGCCCCCACACTCACAGGTGCTCCCTGGCGGGGACACACGCCCTCCATGTGCACACCCAATCCCAGCCAGACAGTCAGCAGCAGCAGTCTGAGGAAAGGCAGGTGCACGCCCAGGAAGTCTCAGAGTCACCAGGAGTCACCTCTCTCTCTCTCTTTCTCTCTCTCTCTCTCTCTCTCTCTCTCTCTCTCTCTCGGTCTCGCCCTGGACTACTCAGAGCCCCACGACGACACAGCCTCACGTAGCCCCAGACATACACACCTGGTCACACACACACACACACACACACAGTCGCAGTCTCACACACAGACAGGCACAGAGAGAAACAGACACACACAGTTGCACACGGGCTCCGGGAGACGCAGAACAATGGGCACATTGTCTGGTTTGGCAGCAGCTGGGGAGGAAGGAGCCACGGGAGGACTGCTGTGCCCCCGCACCCGCACCCCACTGCAGCATCCCAAACCTCTCCCTTCTTCCAGAAGTCAGATTCTGCTGGGACCTGCATTCGCTAAGGGATCGGGCTCCCAGGCGCCCCCTCCCTGGCCTCCGGGGATGCCTGGTGGGAACGGAGGGCTCCCTCTGGGGCTGTGGGGACTCAGGGTGTTTTAGGCTTGATCTTCCTGTCTCCTCCTGGGATCCTCAGATTTGCATGTCCTCCCCAAGGCCGTACCTGGGGAGCTGGAGCCTAGGGATCTGTGCTTAACCTCTGACCTCAACCCTTCCAGGACTCACACACCCTCCATGTGAGCCCTGCCAAGCTGGTGCAGGCAGTGCCTGGCAGCATTGTGGGCTCCCTATTGTGGCGGAGACAGAGAGCAGGTCACGATGGCCAACCCTCCGTGGCAGCAAGCGCAGGAGTCGCTGTCTTGTCCCTGAGCTGCGGAGCAGGCCTGGGGCCCCTCCCGACCCCAGAGCCAGCTCTTCTCGCCTTCCCCCTCTGACCAGAGCAGCCCCAGATGGCACCAGGAAATTCTTCCAGCCTGGATCTCCCCAAACTTTCTCACCCTTAGCTCTAGGTAGCTGCTGTGTGCCTTTGGGCATGTCACTTTCCCATCCTGAACCCCAGTGGCCCAACCTAAGGTGGAGTAGGACTGGCGGGGGGGGGGGGGGGGAAGCTTCAGGAAAACAAAACCTAGATGCTACCTCGGTAGCCCTGCCCGCCTCTGGTCACTCTGAAGGGAGATACAAGATATACAAAGGCTCAGGGGGGGCCCCAAACTATGCTTCTTACTCTTTTTTGCAGGTCTTTAACTCAAGAGTGATGAGGGGGGGAGGTCGGGGTGGGTGGGTTTTTAGGCTCTACAACCGATGTCTTAAAGTGAATGTTCACGATGACACCATTGGACAAAACAGACAAAAGCGATAGAACTACGACA